AAAAAAAATAAGCAATATTAAAAATAAAACAACAAACCCTCAACAAATGTGCAAAATTCAAAAAAATAAATTTAAAAAATTTGATCAATAGAGTTAACTTTGCATCATAAAATTTTGCTCATTAACTTCAGTTTGCTAAATTTCGAATTATTATTGCTCGATCAGATAACTTTATTTTTTACGAGGAAGAATATATGCGAATTCCATTCATTATTATATACAGGTTTTACAGGCTCTATATCAAAATGCTTAAACAATTATATCTCTAAGAGAATATCTCATCCCAAACAAATCATACAACTTATCACCTATCTAAGACCACATATAACATATCATACCAAGAATATAACAAGAAGGAATTTATAGTTATAAAGAGAATCGGTGGTGTAGGTATTTGATGGTATGTTACTAAGGCATAGGTTCTTGCACTGCCTACAGCAGCCGTGAAGTCTAGTCACCGAAATATGAGATTATTACGCTGCCTACAACAACCGCGAAGCCTAAACACCAAACAGAAGGTTAAATATCAAACATAAGGTCCTTTACTTCCTATAGCAGCCGCGGAGCCTAAATATCAAAAGCGAGATTCTTGTGCTGCCTATAGCAGCAGGAGCCTAATTGCCAAATATGAAGTCCTTATTCTGCTAGCGGCAGCCACAGGGCCTAACAAATATCTTGCTAAACAAGTGCTCTGGTTTCGAAAGTTACCAAGAAATGGGCAGGAGGGGTGAGACGATAGAGCCAGCCTTCACTCCAAGGTGAGCGATAGCAAAAAGGAAGATAATCTCCTCTACTAATCAAAGGCTCCTCAAATATATTACTGGTTACATATTCAGAACCATATGATTACCCTTGTTTCTCTTACCCATTCTCATGTAATTCACATTTCAACAACCATATTAACCAGAAAATACTTGTATTTAACAAAACACCATAAGACTGTACACAAATATCCATAAGAAGCTAAATGACAAAATGAACATGTGATTCATAAAGTCATCTGATTTCGCAATAATGATCGCCCTGTCACTTCGTTGACAAGCTTCTCAACACGCGGAATTATATTATACGGCATGTAAAAATCTTAACTCCTTCCGAAAATAGATAAATGAAATCATTACCCCTTCTAAAATAGGATTTTTTGAACCATCCCTCTCACATTTTATGATACACATTCATGTGATCTAATGTTAGTTGATGAAATCGCGGAACTACGATAATTCATAGGTTTGGTACGTATGTACGTATTAAAATAATATATTTATTTCAAGTATTTTATATTTTACATGAAAAAAAAAAAAAATAAACTAATATAGAATTTATAGTACAAAAATTTTCAGACATTCCATTGGTATAAATAAAAAAAATTAATTCTAAAACTAGTTATTTTTTGGAATAAGATGAACTTTTAATTCCTCACATTCATTTGCCCAAACATAAATTTTCTTTAATGGAGCATTAGGATCAACCAAATCAATAGTATAATTTCTTAAGAGTAAAGCAATTAAAGTTTTAGCAGTATTTAAACCCATTTGACGACCAGGACATACTCTAATTCCACCACCAAATGGTAAATAAGTACTTTTATCGAAATTTTTATCAAGGAACCGTTCAGGTTTAAATGAAGTTGGATCAGGCCAATAAGTTTCATCATGATGAACATAATGATAATTGATAAAAAATTCTTGACCACCTTTATATTTAAAATCACCGAGATAATCATCATTAGTAGCTTGTTTAAATAGAGCTGGAACTGTTGGTAATAGACGTAAAGATTCACTAATGCAAGCTTCAATGTAATTCAAATTTTCTAAATCATTGTAAGTCATAGGACGGGATCTATCATTGCCAAAAATTTGATCGACTTCTTCGCAAACTTTGAATTTTATAGCGGGATCCTTACAGATGTGATACAATGCAATCAAGGTGGTATGCGCGCTCTATGTGCATATGTATGTAACAATAAAATTTAGAATATATTTAGAATAAGTTTAGGATAAGTTTAGGATATGTAGTGAGATTTATCACGTGTTTAAGATCTGTTTAAGAATTAAAGAAAGTCATATGTATAAAACTGTTAGATACATACCGAATCAATGCTAGCAAGAATAACATCAAATAAATTTTGTTTAAGATTATCATCATCCATAGGTTCGTCAGGTTCATCCCCAGGTTTATTAAATTGAGGACCTCTTTCCGTATTTGCGGTACAAAGTATAGTTAGAATATCAAGACCTAAAGGTTTATCTTTAGGAGTATTTTCAAT